GGTGATAGCGAATATCGCAGACGATTTAACGATGAGCTGTATGAGCTTTACAACGATATAGACATAGTGCAGCGAATTAAAATTCAGCGGTTCCGCTGGCTTGGCTATGTCGTTGGAATGGACAGAAACGCTCCCGCTCTGAAAATTTTCAACGCGGGCCGCGATGCTGGTAACAGAGGAAGAGGAAGGCCTCCTCTGCGTTGGAAAGACCAGGTGGAGAAGGGCTTGGCTTCACTTGGGATTTCCAATTGGCGTCAGTTAGCACAGAAGAGAAATGACTGGCGTGCTGTTTTGGACTCGGCCAAAATCGCTTAGGCGGTTACAGCGCCAATTAAGAAGAAGAAGAAGACCGTATATGCATTTGTACTTGTAGTACAAAAGATTTGTTATAAATTAATGAGGATATGTACATACATACATATATGTTTGTCAAATTTTATGTTTGTTTTTTGTTGATTGAAAATACTGATGTATCGCTTTAATAAATATGTAAATGAATTACAATAAATTGTACTTTTTTTTGTTATATCAATCTGATTTAAAATACTATAATAGGATGATCACAGATGTGTTGCACGGTGACAGGTAATAAGGTCAATGGAAATAATGTCAATTGACCTTATTTCCCACCCTTGTGCGAAATAAAGTCAATTGACATTATTACCTTTTCAAAAGCGAAATAAAGTCAACAAAAATTTGGAAATAAAGTCATTGACGCTATTTCCTCATTCAAATGGAAATAGCGTCAACAATGCTTAAAGTATGTCGATTCATAGAAAAAAATGTTGTTCTTACAATAAACATTGCCCCGTAAGTGTTGTTTTTTAATAGATGAAAAAGGTTATTGCCAAATCCTCAGTGTTGTGATATTAATCCACACACAATCATGAACTACCACCAATTGATTTTATTAAAAAAATTTTAAATTACGAATATGTAAAAACACGATGCGAAAAACTAAACGCCTGCGCACAGCTGGAATACGAGAAATATTTGAAGAAAGAGTATAGAAATGATCCATAACTTGCAAAACTTGTTTCGTTTCCACAAAAACAAAGCGAACATTATTAAATTGAAGAAATAGTACATGTCCAAAAACCCCGGAGGAACACTGAAAGAATTCTGTGTTTTACATTACCATATTTTGGACGAATTCGGAATGTCTAAGGTGGAAAATAAACCAACTTTTCTATAAGGAAACAATTATAGAAAAAGAATTTT